TATTCCGTTATCATATTTTAAATATGTATTCATGTCACGTTGCATATGAATGTCATGTCATGTAATTTCTTAGTATGCTTGAATGTTGAATTTGCCATATGTTGTAGTTGTAGCCGTGTTATGTTGTTTTCGCAATTGATTGAAATTTGCATTCAAACTGGCCTTTACATAGCCACTTTCACAACAAAAAGGAGTCACGCCACCAGACATGAGAAAATGCCATTGATAGAGTAGGATCTGGGCAGAAACCACACCTTTGTCTGGAAAAGTGTTTTGGCGAAACAACATACATGCTTAGGAAATTAAGTGATGAATGATTTAGCAGTTAACCAAAAATAGAGCTGCAGTATGGAAGGGGTGTCGTGGGATGCTAATCCATCTCATGCGTAATTTAACCCTTGGACCTAGCATTCTTAGGTTTTCGTTTGACCAGGTCCTTCATACGTGTATCCAGGTAGTTGACTTTTCAATCATTATACAGGTTGTTAGGTGTGTAATTTGTTGAGAAACCTCCTAATATATTTTGAGTTGACAAAACAATCCATGATCCCTCACAAGCTTGATATATGAAAAAGTTGTTTATATTAGTAATATCCGTGTAAAAAGAACTTAGAAGTACAAAGTGAAAATATTCGAAATAGCTGGAAGAACCTGCGTGAATAAGTCTAGAAGAATGGGGAGTTCATAAAGTCTCGGAGGTACTAAGGTGAGCAGTTTACAATATTTATATCATCATTGTACTTGAAGTACCAAATGAGAAGCAGTTGGATACCGGGAAACATCCTATAAATGGAGTTTGCTATTACAGAGCCTGATATAAGCGAGAGTCTGATATTGTCGAGAAGTTGGATATAACAAGGAACTGTTGATATAAGTGGAGCCACTACAATACCTTGTACAAGAACCTTGTCACGTGTTCAGAGGATAATAGGGAAAATTTCAAAAATGAATTTGAAGTGGAGTCATTTTCTCAAATAAGCGCCTGAAGTGGACATTATCTCAAATAAGGGCTTGAAGTGGCCAAATCGTTTCAAATAAGGGCATGAAGTGGCCAAATCATCTCAAATAAGGGCCTTTGGCCGGCCGGTGATTATTCTGTCGTCGGAAAAGGGATATTTTAGTAAAAAAAAATTATAAGTATATTTTTTTGATTTTTTTTACTTTTCCGTTTTCTTTTTCCTTTTTTCTTCTTCCCTCCCTAGCCATCACTGCACTTGGCCGGTGGAGGTGAGGGCCGCCCAGCCCGTGTCGGGCAAGGGTCGCCCTCGCCGGCGTCGGGCATGGGTTGCCCTCGCTGGTGTCGGGTGAGGGTTGCCTCGCTTGGACTGGGCGGGCGAGGGTGACCCTTGCCAGATCCGGCGAGGGCAACCATTGCCCTCACCGGCATCGAGCAACCCTCGCCCTCGCCAGCATCGGGCAAGGGTTGCCCTCGTCGGCATCGGGCGAGGGTCACCTCGCCTAGGTTGGGCGGGCGAGGGCAACCCTCGCCCGCCCAAGCGTGGGCGGCCTTCGCCTGAGGCTGGCGACCTCTGTCGGCCCCGGCGATGACCAGCGGAGGGAAGAGAGAAAAAGGAAAAGGAAAAGGAAAAGGAAAAGGAAAAAACAGAAAAAGGAAAAAAGAAAGAAAAAATGAAAAAAAATTCAAAAAAGTAAAAGACGAAAATACGCTTTGGCCGTGAGATCAGGCCCTTATTTGAGACAGATATGACCACTTCAGGCTCTTATTTAAGATAAGATTCACTTCAGGCCCTTATTTGAGAAAATGAGGGTACTTCAGGCCCTCATTTAATACAAGATCCACTTCTGGCCCTTTATTTGAGAATTTGACTTCACTTCGGGCCCCTTTTTGGAATTTTCCCGAGGATAATATCTCGAGATAAGTTAACTTATCTTTTGACAGCTTGTGAACAGGTGGATTCCTAATTTAAAAGAAAGTAATTAATTATCAATATCAAGAATTATCAACGTGGAAAAATCAATCCTATGAGATATCTTGATTAATTGGCAATCTTGCTGAAGACAAGTCACTTTCCATAGCCAAGCCAATTTATTTTTGAAAATCAAAGATTTGATTGTATGGACGACCCAATATACGGGAACTCAGATTGATTGACTTTAATGGCTAAATTAGTTTGCTTAACAATTGTCCAACAATCAGCTTGGAGATTGGTTCTCGTGAAGATTATCCAAGGGGAAGATTGGATGTCGAGAAGTATAAAAAGAGACTAGCAAGACGCCGAAGATGACGAGAGACCCAGAGTGACAACTAATCCAAATTGAGAGAAAGCTTTGGGTTTTATATTGTCTTTTAACTGCACCGAAACTGTAATTTCTTGAGAAGTGTTGTCAGTGATACAATTTGTGTTTAGGTGTGTGATAGTGAGATTTATCTGCTTGGCTATAAGCAGCACCAGCTCTGGGAAGAAATGCTTCCGTATAAGCAACACATTCTACTATAACTACTCAAAGAGTACTAGTGAAATCGAGCCACTAAACTGTTAGTTTGAGAGAGTTGAAGTAGTTTTATACCAAACTGAACCCCTATAAAGCTTTGAGTGCATCTTTTGCTATCCTTTTGCTTATATTCATTACCGCCTAATAGAAGCAAACTGCACCACTTGATATAACATAATCCTACGTATATCAACTATTTGCTTATATCCGATATTACGCTTATATCAAACTTGATGATATTAATTTCGCAATATTAAGTTAAGTTTCTTGAAATTACCTATTCACCCTCCTTCTAGGTGATATTGTTAGCCAACATCCCAATTGACCGAGGTTTACCTAAATTGATTGGTGGAGGCTCTAGTCTAGTTATTAAGGTCATAATCTTATTCACACATTGTGGATCACCCCAACCTTCCGACAGAAAGAAAAGAAAAGAAGATAACTACAATCATGATGACCTTCGGTCGGCAACATTTGAGGTGCTACAATGTTGGCATCGGAATTTTTACATATTTCCGTAAAAGACGCATCCGGTGTAAAGTATTATTCTACACGAGCAAATCAAAAAAGAAATTTTTCATCTAATAAGAGAACTAAATTCAATTACCAAAATTAAAAACTATATACGTGTCAATGTATTAACCTTGTCATAGGAACGATTTTTCGTGTAACAATTTAAAGTCTAATTTTTATCCACTCGCATCTATATAGATAATGCACTTAAATACTTTCTTGGGTGAGTTGGCCCACCGACCAGAATCTAGAAAACGAGTCGACCTTCTAGATTGGCAATTGGCCAAATTATTTGTGGGAATATTTTCATGTATTGGAGTCCACGGTCTGAATCTTTGTAAGTCCAGATTTTCTTTTGGAACAAAGAACTTGTTGACCGAGAACCAGCCAAGAGAACTAGTTCCGACCTTAGAATCGGATGGAACCGGTCCTCGGCTAGTTTTTGGGGATTAAAATTATATTTCCTCGGAATCGCCTCCGAACCGACCTGATCAAGTCAGTCCCTTGAATTGAAGCAGCCTGTTTCCAAACCCTTATGTGACGAGCGGTACCACATACAACATTTGTATCACACGACATGAGCTGTCACTAGATGGATTGACTAATTTCACCCGTTCCATGACATACACACCCAATATATCAGCAGTACCTTGTAAATTTCCCTTATGGAACATGGTATGGAATCTACGACGCCGGATCAGCTTCCCCTCAATCATATTGTACGTAGCAAATGCCCCAATGCACCATCGTTGGTCATGTATAAGTCACTATCAAAGTTGTGAAAATACTTAAAAACTGATCGCCATAAGAATAATCATATTTGGCTGTGGGTCGGTAGATAACAACGTAGGTTCTCTCTCTCAAACCGATCACCCTAAAGAATAATCATATTTGGCTTTCCTTTTGGGTGGGTAGATAACTTCGTACTCTCTCTCTCTCTTTGGGTGGGTAGATAACAACGTACTCTCTCTCTCTCTCTCTCTCTCTCTCTCTCTCTCTCTCTCAAAGCCACCAGAAGCCTAGACTCGTCAAGCGGATGGATCGAGTAAAAAATGATTTGACCTAAATTGACCCATTTAACCTATTTTGATCCATTTTCATACAACGCAAATTTAGTGACTTATAGCCAACCCATATCTAATTGCTAAAATACTTCCATATTTAACTAAATCCAGAAAAACTTATACTCAAACTGAGGTGAGAGTACGGAGTGAGCAAACGCGAAATCGAATGAGGGCGAAAGAGAGTCATAGATGTGGGTTGAGTTTAAATAAATTGTGAACTTATTTAACACCTGTGTTATTTTGGGTTTTACCATCCTAAATCCATTAATGATCCATCTACTGAATATAACTAACCCACAACCTATCAAATCAATGACTCATTTTTACAGGTCTACTCAAGTCACAACAGTTAAACAAGAGTATGAGGAAATGGAGAATTTCAGTCTTTTCAATAAGCACAGATACTGGTATAGTCCAACTTTATCTTGACTAGAGATCTCCCCTACCACCCCACAAATAATTACTCGTGTTAGGAATCTGAATGGTGCTAAATGAATTACGTTAATGGCTGAGAAGAATGAGACAGAGAGGCCAATATTTTTTTAGCTCTGGAGAACTCTGGAACAATGAACAAAGCTATTTCCAGAATGAGATTGGTGGGATTTGTGATGTGCATTTTTCTTTTGCAGATTCTAAACGGAGCGTGCTGGTTCTAATTTTGGATTCTACTTAGCATCATTGTAACCCAAACGAAGCTTCTTTTTTCAATTTGAAGGATCAAATGGACATGTTCCTTTGTCAGTTCTCACTCTCACCTACCGGGCCAGCACAACAAGGGATACGTAAAATAAATAATTTAGTGCAATAATTAGAAACCCAAAAGGCAAAATCATTATTATACAAGGATACAGAGAGAGAGAGAGAGAGAATCTCCTAGTATATATAATGGGTGGTTGTGCATGGAGCTTTTGGAACATATTAGCCATTACCAGTCAACAGTGAGAGAGAGAGAGAGAGAGAGAGAGAGAGAGAGAGAGAGAGAGAGAGAGAGAGAGAGAGAGAGAGAGGGTTTTGAAGCTGAATTGCAATGGAGAGTACCAACCAGCATTGCATGATTCTATTGGTTTTAGTTCTGATCCTCGCTTGCAATGTTATCACAGCTTCCTCTGCCTCACCAGCCTCCAAACGTTTTCATTTCAATGTAAGCTCTCTCTCTCTCTCTCTCTCTCTGTGAAATCAACTACTTAACTAGCCATTCTGAACACCACTCTATGTGACATGAATCAGAAAGGAGAGAAAAGAATGTGAAGAACTTGAAACTCAAGCACTGCCATGAACGCCTTCCTCATAACTATATTCTTGAGAGTTTCTGATGAACACTCTGCACGAACTGTGACATTTGTGATTAGTCTTTAACTCAAAAAAACTCTACTTTTCCAAATGTAAATGTGTCTTAGGTGGAGTGGAAACAAGTGACTCGACTGTGCCACACGAAGTCGCTTCTGACGGTGAACGGCGAGTACCCGGGCCCGACCATCGCCGTCCACGAAGGCGACAACGTAGAAGTCAAAGTCACCAATCGCATTGCCAAGAACACCACGATCCACTGGTAAGATAACAAAGCATGCACACAGACACATGATTAATTGGTTTTTGTTATGTTGGTCTACTCATCATTTTCCTCTTTTATTCACTTTTGTCCTCAACTCATCTTTACATGAATATCCCGCTCTTGCTTTCTTGATCAACTTTCTTGATCATGATGTTTCTTCGGTCAATGGTACGAAATGAGCCCCTCAAATCCGACCGGGCCTGTTTCCTTTGCCCCCGCACGAGAATATCAATTTTCTGGCATGCAAGTTCTCTTTTTCGCACACTAGCTTTGCCCACAAAGGAAAAGGAAAGAGAAATGTTAAAAAAGAAGTTATTTTCGACTGTTTTAGGAAATCAAATTAGGAGAGAGTCACTCAATTAAGGAATTGTTGGCATCTTCTCTAACTAATCAATTTTATTCAAAGTAAGTTAAGATTAAGATTAACTTTTTTGGAACCAATAGCCAAAAGGGTTTTGGATGCCTCCAAGTATTTGTCCTATTCATGGAAAGTGCCCAAAGAAGGCGGCTTATGAAAATTCATGATCCTGCTCATATGAAACTCAACCTTGATTATAAGCCCCTTTCGTTTTTCTTGTTCACTTTGAAAAGCTTATGAATGTTAATGATGGAGGTGGTGTTGATTGTCTCGGACATAGGCATGGAATAAGGCAATACAGAACGGCGTGGGCCGACGGACCGGCCTACATAACCCAGTGCCCCATAAGAGGAGGGCACACCTACACTTACAAGTTCAATGTGGTGGACCAAAGAGGCACTCTTCTATGGCACGCCCATTTCTCTTGGCAACGAGCTTCCGTCCACGGCGCCTTCATCATCTACCCTCACTTGCCCTACCCGTTCACACCCAAGATTCAAGCCGAAATCCCCATCATTTTCGGTAATTCTTCGCTATCTTTTTAGATGATACCCTTCAGACATATTTAATCAAATTGAGTTTTTCTATCATTCATCTCAATATGCGATGCTTCAGATGATCATTTATATATCTTTATAGAAGTCCTTATGTACTTACGTGAGAGAAGCTATATTTTAAACACATTTTATGCACGGTGCTATGTAATATGTTTAATACCAAATTTGTGAGATACTTGTTAAGATCTTATATCTACTAATTAATCATATATGACAGATTGTTGAAGTAAATCTTGATATGACACATTTAATTGTCGAGTCAACATTGCTACTCTTGCACAAAGTGCTTATGACATGTAGGATATCTGTCAGGTCTACTTCTATGTTCAAGAACTTTGATCCACATCATGTAACCTATGTCCCCTTTGTGTTTGTTTGTTCAGACATCATGTATGCAAATGAATATGATGACCGAGGCCTTTTTACTTTCACTCCCACTCTGAATTTTTTTTGTTCTGTCTATACTGATTTTGACTGGGTATTGCATCTTGTTTGACCCCAACCATAGGTGAATGGTGGAATGCGGATGTTGATGCAGTGGAGGGTCAAATGATGTATGGTGGTGGCCCTAATTCCTCAAATGCTTACACCATCAATGGCCTTCCAGGCCCTCTCTATCCTTGCTCTGCCAAAGGTATCATGACATTAGTGCCTGATCAAGCAGATGTTTCTTTTGCTCTTTCTAAAACCTTTAGTTCTTTTTTTTTCTTTTGTGGGCTATAATCACCTAACTAGTTAATCTCCAATTGCTTGCTACCCTGCAGATACATTTGTCCGGGCCGTGGAACCAGGCAAGACGTACATGCTTCGGATCATCAATGCTGCACTCATCGATGAGCTCTTCTTTGCAGTGGCCAACCACACGCTGAAGGTGGTCGAGATCGATGCGGTCTACACGAAGCCCTTTTCGACTCTGGCCATAATGATCGCTCCTGGGCAGACCACGAACGTCCTGCTCACGACGAACCAAGCACCCGACGCCTCAGGAATGTTCCCAATGGCAGCTGCTCCTTACCTCACCTCTGTTTTCCCCTTTGACAATTCCACAACATTGGGCTTTTTAAAATACAAAGGCCCTAAATCTAGTGACAAAAACACCAAACCTAGTGTTGTGGTCCCTAATCTTCCTAAAATGACCGACACACCTTTTGCCACAAAGTTCTTGAACAAGCTCAGGAGCCTTGCAACGCCTCAATACCCATGTAGGGTCCCCAAGGCAATTGATAGGAGAGTGATCACCACCATTAGCCTCAACCTCCAAGATTGTCCACAAAACCAAACTTGCAAGGGCTATGCCGGGAAGCGGTTTTATGCCTCGATGAACAACCAGTCCTTCGTCCGCCCGCTAATGTCGATCCTCGAGGGGCATTACAAGAACTTCACCGCGAGCCAGCTAACCTCGACCTTTCCAGAGCGGCCCCCGAAGGAGTACAATTTTACCGGAGTCGACCCCCTCACAGAGAACATGAATACCGAGTTCGGGCACAAGCTCTTGGTGGTGCCGTTTGGCACGAACTTGGAGATCGTGCTCCAGGACACAAGCTTCCTTAACCCCGAGAACCATCCTATCCATGTCCACGGTCACAACTTCTTCATTGTGGCGCGGGGTTTCGGGAACTATGATGCCAATGTTGACCCCGCGAGCTATAACCTCGTGGATCCGCCGGAGAGGAACACGGTGGCAGTCCCCGTCGGCGGATGGGCCGCGATCCGCTTGAAGGCGGATAACCCGGGGGCTTGGTTCATACATTGCCATCTTGAGCAGCACACCACATGGGGCCTTGCCATGGCCTTCATTGTTCCCAATGGGCCTAGCCCCTCTCAATGCTTGCTGCCTCCACCTGATGATCTTCCCTCATGCTGAGAGTCTTGAGACTGTCCTGGTGAAAGGCATTTATCCAAGCAACACTTACTATCATTTTGTTCTTTGCTTTGTTGTCCCTGGTAGAGGGTTGAAAGAGCTTTAATTTTGACCAGTTGTGTACTAGATTTGTTAGGTTAGTGTCCGTGAATAGGTGATAATGACGGCAATATAATTTTGGCAATAAGGGCTTGGTGATTGGGGTTCATTTAAGCACCGTTAAAGAAAGCTTTTGTAGACAATGATATTGTTGTAATGACGTAAGTATTATGATGTGAAGTATGATATTCTTGAGGTTAGACTAATGGCTTATCTTCTTATTGATGATTAGCTGAGTAAATCTCCAAGTTTTGACGCACAATTAGAGTTTCATATTCTAATATAACTGCAACTTAATGAGCCGTCCTCTTAGTATAGTAAATATATCGTCATTAACCTTAACGAAGAGGTACCAAAATACTTCATTAGGTGCGCTCGTTTCGTGAAAAATCAGCGACTTAAAAAGATTTTTCTAAATTTAACCAATTGTATTGCTTATCTTCTTTATTAATAAAAATGTACAGGCATAAGTTGTGCTTATTACGGAAAAGATCTCGCGGAGACTTATTTTCCCAAATGATATAAACGATTAAAGTTAGTATAGTTTTTTCCTAGTTGTTGATTTTCCCCGAAACAAGCGTATTAGATTTGTGTAACGACATCGATAAGAAAAATAGTTTCATAGACAACGTGGGATGAGTAAAAAGCATCGTTAGAACTTATAAAAATCCCATGGCAAAATTCAATTTCCTTTCAATCTCGAGCGTTGCTTTCCTAAGGGTGGGTTTGTCCTCCCTACTACATAGGTGCGGCGTACTTCGAGAATACCTAAAAATACTCCCCGTCCTCGGTTGGGAGCACCGAGAATGTATTTCCACGGGCCAAATCGGAGTTTGTAGCCCAAACCAAAGTGGGCCACGATGGAGTTTGTAGGTGGCTACTGGAAGCCCATCTATGAAGATGCCAACTGGGCCGCATAATCTGTGCCCAACAAAAGGAAAAGACCAAACTTCCAGAGTGAAACGATGAAATCAACTTTTTTTTGGGTAGCTAAGATGAAATCAACTTGACGATGATGTTTATGATGGAACTTATATCCTTTTTCTCGGTTGTTTATTTCCATCTTGGCTTGTGACTTATCGACACCACCGTCGTCCATGGTACATCTAGAGTCCTCATTCACTAGCCAACGGATTATAGGATACGATAGGTTCAGCTTGACTGCGAGAAATATAGAAATGTCTGTTCGAGGGCGTGATTGGGTTTATTGCAAGAATTGTCTCTAGTAGGATGTGCTAAATGTGAACAAGATGACAACAAAGACACTTTATCATATAAATCATGGTGAGAGACACAATGCGAAGACATTGAAATTAATTAGAAATTCTCTTGGGTGTAATTTGTGTATAATTGTTATCAGGGAACTTGCATGTGTAATTTTCTTTCTAGAAAAATGTCAGGATGCATTTGCACTTCATTTGTATCTAATTAAATGAGTTTTTATTTTATTTTATTAATTATGTACTATTGTAGTTATCCTACAATGCTATTATATTTGCATTTTTTGTAATTTTTATTGCATATCACAGTTTATAAATAAAACTTTTTTTATTGTTCTTTTGAATTTTTAAAAAAATTTAACTTAATTTAAAATTTTAAAAGGGGCCCAAGCCAACCGTCCCTAGGACTGGCACGTGGGTCGGCAAAGGAAAATCCCTTGCAGCACAGCCCATTGGCTAACTATATCTCAATTCATAGAAGGAAATGATTAACCGAAATTAAGATTTCATTTGTTTAACGGAAAACAACTTTTAGGAAAATATTTTCCGAATTTTTCGGTGTTTGTTTCATAGGAAATAAACTAGTCATGGAAAATATTTTCCACCAATGGAAAAAACACCTTCAAAAGTGAGGAAAATATTTTCCGCTTTTTAGAAAGCGGAAAAATTTTCCATATCTTCTTTCACCTCATTTTCTTTCATATAACACATTTTTATTTTATTCGTATATTTTCTTTTCTTTTCTTCTTTTTTTTTTAATATTTTAAAAAATCAATTTTTTTATATTTTTTATTTTATTTTATTCCTTTTTTTTCTTCTTCCTCGCATAGGCAAGCTTGAGCCTCGCCTGATCCAGCGAGGTCAAGCTCGCCCGAGGCCGGCGAGCTGGGTAAGGCTCGAGTAAGAAGAAAAAAAAAGAAAGAAAAGTAAAAAAAAGATTAAAAGATTAAAAGATTAAATAAATAAATTGGATACTGAACAGCGGAAAATATTTTCCAAGTTCATTTTTAGGTTTCAGCTGAACACCAAAAAATATTGTCATTTTCTTGGAAAATGGCTCATTGGAAAACATTTTCCAGAAACTTCATATTTTCCGCGAAATGGACGAAGCCTAAAAGTAAAAGAATGATTTCCTAAAACAAAGAGATAAAAATATGCTTTCACTTACTAAAAGACATTAGCATGTATTATTATTGACATACATTTTTCTGTATAAATCTTTTAAATTTATTTTTCTCCATTTTCTTACTTTTTCCTTTTTTTACATCAAGAGTAAAAGAAAGATTTCCTTGAAAAACAGATAAAAATGTGCTTTTACTTATTAAAAGTCATATGCATTGCCAATGCTAACGGAAAATATACTGGACGGTTGTAATAAAATATAAGTTGAAAGGAGCAATGTGTGTTTAGCTTAGGGTTTTTACTCTTAGGCTCCGTTTATTTCACGAAAAATGAATGATTTGATTTTTTTTTTCTAAAATGATTGTTTGTATCGCTTATAAAAATGAATGAATGGAAAATATTTTTATCATCCACGAAAATATTAAACATAAACCTTGATGCATGTGCTTGGGTCCACATAGGCCGGGTTTGATACCCTGGTGTCCGTGCCTATGTCCCCAGTAGCCATGCTCGAGACCACGGTGTTCGTGCCCGTATCCCTGCTAGCCATGCCTCGAGTACTTGACTCCTCATCTCGAGTCCATTGAGTTTGGGAACTGTTCCTAGGCGGTCGGGTCTGGGTTCATAAAGCTTGGGCCCGGGTGCCTTAAGGCTAGGCTCGACCCCCCGTTTCCGGCTCCTACATTGAAGTCACTAGCATCGGACTTGAGACCCTGGTGCCAGATGCTCGAGTGACTGGCATGCCATGCTTGGGTACCCAACTCCTATGCCCAAGTCACTGGCGCCTAGGTCCAGTCCACAAAGGCCGAGCTCGGGACCTTAGTTTGGTGCCTAGGCTTGGGTCCATTGAGGCGGACTTAGGTCCATAAAGGCTAAGCTTGGGGTGCTGATGCTTAGGTCCTTGATAGGAAAGGCCCGAGAACCTGGCTCCCACCCTTAGGTCACAGGTGCTCGGCCCTAGGTTCATCGAAGTTGGGCTTGGGACCCCAGTGCCTATGCTTGAGTCCTCGGCGACTATACCTTGGTACCTTGCTCCCATGCCCAAGTCACCAATGCTTGGCTTGGGTCCACGATGCCCGTGCCCGGATCCTAAGCGGCTATGCCTTGGGACATAGCTCCCACGCTCATGTAATTGGCGCCCGAGCACTAGACCCCAACCTGATGCTTAGGCAAGGGCCTTGGTCTACAAAAGGTGGGCTCGGGACCCTGGTACTTGTGCCCGAGTCCTCAAAGGCCATGCTTATGTAACAGCCCGAATTTCGATGTAATTCCGGGATCAATAAAATTGACATTATTTCGCATTTCATTTTAGTAAGTCTCGCCCAGAGCTGATCACTCTAGGGATACTAACCAGTGGGGTATGGCTAACTGGGAAAACGGTACGTGGACTAGGGACCCGATAGTAAATCGGGCATCGATCACGAGAAATGATGAGGGAATATTTTGGGCCAACGTGGGCCGATCTCAGGAAAAGTGATGGATTTGGTTTGGCCAAGACCAATGATGTACAATCGGATCGTAGGTGATTCTGCACGATCGAAAGTGCACGTGGTCAACCAGTCCTGAACTGGAACCGAACGATCGCGACCTTTGGGACTAGTGATAATTTCTCATTCTCTCGATGATCGGGGCCGTCATGACTCGGATAACCCTAGGTCGATACGCGTAACCCCTAAATAGCCGCCCGTTAGTGAGAGACCCTGAAATTGGAAATTTAGCGAGTTTTGTTCACGGAATTGGGCCCGGATTTCGATGTCGATTTTCGAAGGCTTAAGAGACTATTTTTGGGAATCTGACGCCATATTATGCTGGCCACACACATTTGGAGTTAGTACGAGTAAAAATGGGAATTTCGGTCCAGGGGTGAAAAATTACGATTTTGCCCCTCGGGATACCAGCGTCGCTTTTCGAGGCCAAATGAGGTTATTTTTCGAGGCCGACGCCATTTTAGGGTGGCCACGCATACCAGGAGTCGTTATGGCCAAAAATTGGAATTTCGACAAAAATTGGAAAAATTGACGATTTTGCCCTTCAAACTTTGACGTGGATTTCCGAGGGCTTACGCGATGAATTTCGCGATTCTGACACCACATTATGTTGGCCACGCACATTTAGGGTTGGTATGGGTGAAAAATGGAATTTCGACCCGGGACCGGAAAAATGACAGTTTTGCCCATGGGCTATTTTTGGTTCCGAATTTTGGGGGATAATTAAGGAAATTAATTAAATTTGGACTTATCCTAATTATTGCAGCAAATGACCAAAATGCCCATGAATTATTGGGTAAGAATTAATGGGAACCCTTGGATGAGGGGTAAAATGGTCATTTTGGCTAGATTTGTGACACTTGGCGCCCCTAGCCCCTATTATTTGACCAATTTAAACCTGTTTCTCTCTCCTCTCACTCCCATTTGGCCAGAACTCTCTCTCTCTCCTCCCGAAATCTCTCTCCCTCTTTTGTTCTCTCTCGGCCAAGCCTTGCCGGAGCTCACCGCCGGCCGCCGGAGCACCGCCGCCGGCCACCGTGCCTCGCCGTCAACCACCTCAATCCCTAGCCTCAGCCTTAGCCTCACCCGACCCCTTTCTCTCTCTCCCTCTCTCTCTTTCTTTCCCTTTTTCTTCTAGGGATAGCGCCGCCGCCGCCGCCGCGCCGGAGCCCGATCGGTCGAGCTGCTGCCACTGTGACGTTTCCGACGTCCGTACGTCACTTTTCATCGCCGTCCGTACAGTGTCCGTACGGCGTTCGTACGGTCCGTACACCGCCGTCCGTACGTCGCCGCCGGGAACGCCGCTGCCGGTTTCACTGTTCACCGATGATCGGCCACCGTTCCTTGTCGTCGTGGTCTAGAATT